TTGATTGATGCCTGTCTCCAATGTAATGCAGATGGAAAAGTTACATTCTATGATGACCAGGACATAGAATGCACACAGAAACAAAACAACTTATAGACTCAAGATTCAGGATTTTTTTGGCCATTTGCAGTAAAATCACATTGGAAAAACTCTGCAAGACGACCCCAGTGTGCACCAGACAGAGGATACTGCAGACCAGAGCTCCTGCCACGGACCCAAGATTGACCCAAGCAAAGAGCTGATCCTCCGCTAGTAAATGTGTATAGTGCATATTTAATGTGTTCGTTCATTGGCTATTTGTATTGTTTATTTTGTCATGTGTTCGATAGGCTATCAATACATAGACCAACATACAAACAAGTATTACCTACTTTTTTAACATGACTTATCCTCAGTGACTTTTCATCCACGTGATATTTGATGTGGATTTTTATATTATTGGATTATTGATACAGGTCTAACAAGCTGTAATGAGTGAGCCGGTGAGCTCTTATTAAAATGAATCACTGCCGGGAATAGGTCATCTCTTAGTGTCGCTAAGATTTACAACGACCGCTTTGGTGTAAAGGACAAAAAGCGGTTCACCTTGGCTTGACGTTTATTACAAGTTTATTCAACGTTGTACATTATGCGCCTACACATAATTTAATTCTCTTGGCCCAGTCTGCAGAAAGGATTTCAATATCACACTCATTCACACGTAATAACCTTGGCAGCTCCTGTGTCCCCAAATGGACAATCTAAAAATGTCACTCACTGTCCTTCTGTCTAGCTTATTTTCTTCTCGCGGCATATTTTTCTCGAAGAAAATTATTACTCAGACAATCTTCTGTCTGAAAATATATCACATCAAGGTCATTTTTTGTTGTTGTGTGACACCGGCAGTGGCAGAGAGACCTTTCTGCACAAAACATGTTTGACATATGGGCTGGTCATTCACTCTCAAGTCTGTGCATGAAATTAAGTTAAAGAGACTAATATTTGAATTTAACTACATCTATGTGGTTTAAATGTGTCTCCAGATAATAGGTCTACATGTATAAATCATAGCTGACCTTTTTTTTTAACAGAATTTTGACCTATTCTTAATTTAAAAGTACAATTGAATCTATGGATATATTTCAGGACTGATGTGTTATTATCAGAGGAAAAAAAATAAAATAAAATCACTTATCTCATTAAAACTATTGCAATAGTTCATTTGTTTTATATAATTAAGAAGTAATTATGTGCACAGACTTTTCTTCAACATTATGCCTTTTTGGATTGAAATAAAATCATGGTTACAAATTACCACATATAGTCTTTAATCACTTAAGATTTTGATTTTCCAGAAGTTCACAGGCTTATAGAAAGGAATATTTTTCTTCTGGGCCCGGGGAAATGGATCAGTAAAGGCAAGTCTAGGAAGCTCATTGGAAATATTGTTTAAGATTTTCAGTTGTAAGCCATTTTAAGTTTCAAATTCTAATTACGTTACTTGACCAGTAGGGGTGCAAGCTACATTTGGTCTCTTTAAGCAGCGCAATGATTGTGCACATTTATTCAAATTCAAATCATTTCTCATAATGAAGTTATCTCACCATCTGTCGTCAAAAAAAATTTGACTGACGTGTTCAGAATTTGATACAGAAATAAGGCCAAGAATGCAGGAGTTAAAAATAGAACATTTAATTCTCTTTACAATTAAATATCGATACAAAACCCTTGGAGCCATTAATTCTCTAAAACTAACCCTCTGCTAAGCCATCCTAAACTTTCCCTCCAGGCCTGAAAATGTGCAGAGAACATGCAGGCGCTCTGCCATGGTTCTCTGTCTCTATCCCTGCTCTTTTTTTTCCCCAGACTGTCCTATCCCCCCTTTTATCAACATGTCCGATGACGTCACATGGTCTGAGACTGGTCTGGACCCTGGTCCTGGTCTTGGTCCTCCATATCAGCCTGAGCAAACAATGCCCCCCCACCCGTGCGGCGCCTGATTGTGTTGGACTTTGCTCTCTGCCAAAAGTGGGAGAGAGCCCTGCTTATACTTGGAGTCAATAATTGTCTGGTTTTGTAAGCTGGTCCTCCTTTATGATTCCCGTACTATCTTGTGTCCTTGGGGTTTTTCCTGAGTGCACAGAGGTCTTTTTTGGCTATGATGTTCAAATGGTCAAATATTGTCACGTCTGTATAGTGTATATTTAAAATATGCAACAGGACCTAGTTTCAAAAATGTTCGTTTACACCCCCCCAAAACGCCGGCCTCGTATGGACGATACACTGGATTGATAAAGTATTTTTGCGTTTAGGCCTGAGCTTGACTTCGTGTGGACAGGGCCTAAGTGTAAAAGATGTGGATTCAACTGATGTTTGTGAACAAAAAAATAAATTAAGTAATACAAATTCTTCACCAAAAATTCTGTTTCTAATCTCTCTGTTCCAATCATCAATCCATATTTATATCTATTTTTGTCGTTCTAATAATTCAGTGGAAAGAAGTGTTTTTTTATATGCCTGTGTTGCGGAAAAAAATACACACATTTATAGATTATGTAAAAAACTTGCTGTTAAAAAAGAAATATTACGCATTATTTTTGGCCTTATATTTATAATGAGACTGTTTACTATGTTTGAAGTGGTCTCCGCCGGACTGGACCACTGGGCTGTACCCCCAAACCTGCCTGGAGCCTCCTCAGTCCATCAGTCCTAGTCACAAATCAAGAGCGATCTCCCTGAAAACCTCGTTCCGTGTTGAGCCTTGAGCTACCTTTGAATTCTTCCTTAGGCATAAAGAGAGTAACGTGTGGATCTCGTCGACCGACCAGGGCCTTTTGGGGCTTTCTGTGCAATTCCATTTCCCTGGAGTGAGGAGGACATATTATAGCCTATTATAGATCCATGGCTGAGCGGGGTTGAGCTGTTTTACCAAAGGGTTGGACGTCGCTTCCAGTGACGACACTCGATGACCAATCAGTGTAAAGCAGTCGGCCGACGTCACGTCAAAGTGTCGCTTTGGACCACTTGGAACCACGGTCGAGGTGGTACGTGTATACAGATATACGGCGTGTATATATATATAGGGCGGCACGGTGGCTGAGTGGATAGCACTCTCGCCTCTCAGCAAGAAGGTCCTGGGTTCGAATCCCGGTTGGACCAGGGCCTTTCTGAGTGGAGTTTGCATGTTCTCCCCGTGTCTGCGTAGGTTTCCTCCGGGTACTCCGGTTTCCCCTACCGGTAAAAATATGTAAAATAGTTCTGGCATGCGCCTCCTGTACTGGTGACCCCGCTCCCAAAAAAATAACAATTGTAAACCGCTTTGAGACTCAGCTCTGCAGTGAAAAGGCGGTATATAAATAATTACTTACTTACTTACTTACAGATGGATAATGCTAATCTGCTAGCTCAATGACACCCAATCGGGAAGTGCTCATGAACAAAGTGTTGCTCTGGCTCTGACTTACATGAACTAGTAAACTGCTTTAGCTCAGGAACCATTTGTGTCACACCATTTAGAGCTTTAATAATCTGTGGCTCAGTGCTGTCTGTGATTCAGATGTGAGCCATGCAAGTAATGACCAATCAGATGCTTTCGTTCGCTGGTGAAACAATATTGTAGTACGGTAGGATACAATACTTTTGACTCACACTGAATTGAAAGTCTTGGACTTGTTTTTTATTTTACTGAAAGGTGAAAGCTGTTTTAGCAATGTATGTTTCCATTGTATAAGTAAAAAAGTTTAAATCTTTGATATTGAGTCTTTACAACTATATACAAGCTGCCCCCTGATATGCGTGTTCTAACTGATTTTGGCCTTTTTAAATCGAGGCTCAAAACGTATTTATTCAGATTAGCTTTTAACACTTTTATCACTCAATAGCAGGTGACACTTTTTAAACATGTTTTTTAACTGTTTTATTGTTTTAGTGCATAAATGTTTTAAATTGATTTTATGTAATTTTATTGTGAAGCACTTTGGTCGCCTTGAGTGTTGTAAAGGGCTCTGTAAATAAAATTGATTGATTGAAAGGAACACAAATGTAATTCATGTATTACTAATCTTTATTTGATTTTTATTTGCAATTTTGAACGGAGAATCCAACGATCGAACGATTCACAGATTTGCAGAAACTCAGTCCCAGAACGTTAAATCCAAAAACAAATAAGGTTTTTGTTTAATGCTTTTGAATTGAATAACGTGCAAATGTAGTCGTTTCCAATGTTAAGGACCGCCTCCTTAACATGGGGGGGGTGGGGTTCGAGTACTCGGATGATCCTGGGAGCCTGTTGTCTGGACAGGTCTTTGGTGATGAGTCGAATGAAATGCAGTCCGCCTGGTACAGCGCAGCCGGGGCCCACTAGTCCATGTGGATGGGGCTGTGGGGGCAGAGGGGCTGGGCCGTTGAAGGTAGTGTCCACCGGGTTGGAGACGAGTGAGGAGGTGGAAAATGGACTTGAACCAACCTCACGTGTGCTTCTTTGGGTTCGGTCTGAGACATTGACGGTAACCTCAGAGAGAATCTCATGAAATAACACAATGTCTGAGCTGATTGGTAGAGCCGTTGCGCGACCCCTCCAAGGACGTTGCGTCTCGACTCAGTGAAGTTTTGGTGCTGGAAGAAAGGATTTTCCCATGTTCCCTGAAGCTATAGACACAGGAGAATTTACTGTGCCTATAGTTTTATGAATGTTCGACCTCACAAACCAGAAAGTCTCACCCTTGTCTCACTTCAGGTCAGGTCTGTGGCTGTAACCGTCACATGGAACGCTGCTTATTTTGTTTTATTTCTTAAGTCACCTTTAACCAGCTGTCAATCTCCTTCTACAGAGCTGGGCAAGAACAAGTCATACCCCTATCTTCAATGGAATCTACAACTGATAAAAAAAAAGTCTCTTAAGAAAATTTTAAAAAAATATGTCGTGCCCATGAACAAATTAAAAACCACCCGACTTAACCCTAACACTCACCTTGTCTCCATTTAGATGATGGGGACACGGCGAGACAGAGATTGAAGTCAACTTAAATCTCTGTCACGTGTGGGACAGTTTCTGCTGGCATTTCTGGCTCTGTGAGTACGTCCTGAGTCATTGGCGGTAACCTCTGACTGAAACTCATGAGATTATACAACGCTTTAGCTGATTGGTGGAAGTGGTGTCCTATCCTTCCAAACCAGCTGTATGTTGACTGTGTGGATGTTGTGGTGCTGGAATCAGGGATTTCCCCATGCACCCTGAAGCTGTATACACAGGTGAATGCATCGTGCCCGTGGTTATCGTGAATCTCTAACCTCACGGACCGGAAAGTCTCACCCTTGTGTTGCTCCAGGATGTCAAATGTTTGGAACGAGTCCCCGTCTGCGTCGTAGAGAAACGTTCCAAGTTTGATCTCTGTTGGTCCAAAGTCCTTCAGTCCGTACACAGAGAAAGAGTTTGGAGCCGACTGAATTGTTCCTGTGATAGACTGCTCCTTCACAATGTGTCCGACAGTCACTTTGGTGATGTGGATCTCCTGGGGTAGAGTGATGGAGAGCTTCCCAGTCTGACCTGTGAACGCCCAGCACTTTCCAGGAATCAAAGGGTAATTATGACCTTTGATCACAGTGTTTGGACCAAGAGGGCTGAGCCAAGGCGGGCCGTTTTTCTGCTTGTGAGTCTTGGAAGTCTCAGCAGTCATCACCCGAGCCCCGTGATGCACCGATGCAAAGTTGGCTAAAGGTGCTCTCACCATCGCCTTGTGTTGCTGAAGCTGCTCACGCAAATGATCGACCTCCTCCTTCAGCTGGTGCCGATGTTTTACCTGGTTTTGCAGCTGCTGCACCTCACCATCAGTAGCCATTGTCATTGCCAAACAGGACACAACAAGGCCAGCCAAGAGAAGCCAGATTATGACCCAGGCCAAGCTGAACCAGGACCTAGGCTGAACTGCAGGCCCAGACACATAGATGACATTTGCGGCCTTCCTCGCCTCCAGTGGGTAGCTGTGGCGCCGCATATTTGTGGAGATGTTTAACCTCCTGCGACCAGTGTCTAAGTAGCAGATGCGGGGGTTTCCATCCTCATCGTAGTACCCCATTTCCTCCAGTCGAGGACTCCTGCGAGCCATGTTTTTAAAGGCCCTGTATTTACTCCAATAGAACGGGTTTAGTCGGACTTTACCAAGTCCCGTTAGAAATGACTCCTCTGAAGTAAACTTTTGACTCTCCTGAGCCTGACTTCACCGATGGACGGCCCTTCAAGAACTCACAAGCACTCACAAGCTCTGCCTGGCCCCGGTGACATCATCGATACCATGGAAACCGGAAGGGACGATGTCAGCGGGCATCGCCACGGTAACCAGAGCAGCTGGTTGCCATGGCGACATTTGCAACACTATTTCAGTTTTAGCAGCCAATTTGAGTGTGTGACTTTTTTTAAATGTTCTTTATTTGATAAATTGATTTAGTACATTCCATTTATTCATATTTACCTGAAGTTTACTTCCAAACATTCAAGTAAATTAAGAATGTTCTTGTTTTTTAACCACGTGATTTGTCGTTCTGGGATCAACAGACGCCATGTCAAAGATGAAAGTTCTGATCAATAATTAAAAATATAGGGCTTAAATTTTACTTTTATCAGTATTTGAGTCAAAAATACCATTTTTTGATTGGTTTTATTGACGTCACACGTACGAAAAAAGTGCCCTTATCTCAAGCCCAACCCCAGTGGAAATGCAAAATAACCGTGCCGTACCATGCCGTACCGTACCTTTACTGTGGAAAAGTGGCATTAGTGTCAGTGAACACATTACACTGGGCTCTACACTTCTCCATAGACCTCATAGAGACAGCAGCAGCCGCAACTCTGCAGCTGTGTTCACAGCCGCAATACGCGACTCATGCTCATTGACAAAAAACAACGCAGGATAAGTATTATCACAGGAAGTCTGTGTTTGGACAAATTCAGGAGGTCATTTGCCGTGGAATTATTACTTTACCAATTACAGACATGGCACGTTTGCACAGGACTTACTGTAAGATCTCAGGGGTCCACTACAGTCTCTGGGTAACAGTAATCCCGGGCTGAAGTAATGATGCATATCTCAGAAATACTGCACACGTCGTCTATATTTGTATATGTCTATATGTACTAACACTTTTACACGATGTTGTTAGTGTTGTTTGAGGTTTCTGCACATAGGTTTGTTCTTTATGAAGCGGGCTGTTGGACTAATAAGGGAGTTCTTTAGAGGAGGAGATTGATGCCAGACCAGTGACAGCAGCCTTGAGATTTCTTCCTTATCTCAAGGAAGGAAGAAATCTATAGGTTGGAAGTGTGAATCCCTTTTTAGGTGTGGAATGGAGAGATGTGGAGGGGGAAACCAGACAAAGGCCAGACCTGATGCAGAGTCCAGACCGGGACCAGGAACTGGCTGATACGACACGCCCCATCTGCACATTATTACTTATATGATTTTGCTTGATGTTTTAGTTCAGTCAGATAGGGTGAGCCCATAGGGAAAGAGAGCAGGCATAGTTAGGATAGGAGCTTTTTGAATTTCTGTATCTGATTGTAAAGATAAATTAAATACAGATGTTTAACTTGGAAATCTTCGTCTTGTTTTCTGCATCAAATTTTGACACACGCCCAAAGGTTTTTTTAGAGAATAAATGGTGACCCCGACGTGATTTGATGCAGAGAGGAAGACGCAAGATGAGCTCAGATAGAGAAACCGGGTCTGTGGGTCTGGAGACTCTCTGCTCTACAAAACAGTCGCTTCTAAAAGGCAAGCAGATAACATTTTTGAAATCTGCACATTGTTTTTTTGAATAGAAGAGAGAGAGGTCTCAGCCCAGCATGACTGCAGGTGTGGACAGACCTGCCATGACGGGCGATTTATCGGACGCGATAAATCAATAGCCAGGTTTTGAAGTTTTGACTTGAGGGGAGATTGGATCCCCTCTAAAAAAGTCCACAAGAGTTTTAGAGTGCAAAAGAGGCACACAGTTTTAGAGTGCAAAAGAGGCACAAGTGTTTAGTGAAAATAGAAATAGAATTAGAAATAGGGACAGCTATAGGGTCAGAAGTTACAGGATAATAACACCTTCCATATCCCCCGGGGGAAAAAGGGTACATTTAATTTAAACAAAAAAGCCAAGTATTTAAACTGTTGGATTCTGACTATTGAATTATAATGATCTGATTAATCAGGGTCAGAGAGCCACTTGGCTGTAGATACGAGTTTCATGTGGAGAAATGACAAAAGGATCTGTCTGGGAGTTCTCTTGTATTGTGATGTAATGTTTTAACCCTTTAAGCGCCAGAGGTTTTTTTCCAAAACGCTTGATTTTGACATCTTAATTTCAAAAGGCTATAACTTAAAAGTGATAAGAGCTAAAGGCTTTCTGTAAATTAGAAAAATATCAAGGATGGTCCAAAGTTTATGTAGAGAATAAATCCCCCCATTTAATTTGCATATTATGACGTCATTTGGCGTTAGAAATAGTGGATTATAGAATTTTCATACAATATTTGTATTTTTCTAACTGACAGACATATATTGATCACTAAGACATGAACACACACAAAACACACACTGTAACATTGTAAATGTTCATGAAAATAGTAAAAAATACAAATCATGGTGCTGCTGTGAGCAGTCTGCCCAGACGCGCGCCTCCAGGTGAAGCGCGTCACCGCGACTCTCCTGCTGCAGATGTCTCCCCTGCTCTCTCTTATCTCCCCTGATCTCTCTCTCGTCTAACACACACAAGACAAAGCTTCTCCAACACGTTGCTGTCCCGGTGATTACGGGAGGCATGAAAATAAATATGTGGGAAGCACTTTTAGCGGAGACTTTAGCGGAAACTTCAGCGGAGGCGGGAGGTCGCGGCGCGGTGCCCTGACGTGAGTTCTAGGCTTGTTTTCCGCAAATCTAACCTGTCTCCGAACCTCCCAATGACTTGGCCTTACTCTGAGAAACACTGTTCCCACTGCAGACTCTGTACAAAGTGTCTAAAGTTAGTGTTTGGTGCGGTACAACACTCGCAGGCTGCCCCGCAGCTGCATCGCTTCACAATGATTTCTGCACTGGTTCAACGCGGTCTTGCTCGAATATTTTGTATGGGAGCATGAAGTTTTTTGGGGCCAGGGAGGTAGTCTGACATGTCTGCCAACTAGTGGCAGGGAGTATGAATGAATTTTGACACTCAGTTGGACACACTCGGCCGTTTTTAACAGTAGCGCAGCTTGTCGACTTAAGTCGACCGTGGCGCCTAGAGGGTTAATAGTTACAGAGGTACTACTATTATGAAAAAAGAGAAATACACTTATTAGGAAAGAGATGAACAATTCTAACATGTTTGATTGATCCTGATGTAACTAGTAATACATTATTCATGTAAGCAAATTGTAATTTTTCCATTACTGACGTATTTAATGATAAGCCAGATAGTGTAAAGTGTCGTTTGACGTGAGAAACTCTCACCACTGATTAAAACATCGTCAAGTTAAAAAACGAGGAAAATGTTGAAAATTTTAAAGGGGATGTTCATAAATTTGGTGTATTTCAGTCCTACATGTTCTCCTCTGTTTGAGGAGCCACACAGCCCCTCCCCTCTGCTCTTCTCTCTCTCTGATAATGCTTGATGCATACAGACCCTCCCCTCCCTCCCTCTCTCTGCTGTCCCCCTCTCTCCGTTAAGAATGATGCATACAAAATATATTTTTAGTAGAAAATTACATATACACACACGATAATGTTACTGTCATAGTCATATGATCACAAAACTTTGAGTTAGATTGTAAAGAGGCATTATTTTTTTGGCCATTTCCAAGGCGTCTAGACAAGTTATCAAACATTTTTTCCCAACATTTTGGTGATACATAATTTAAAATGATCTTAAAGAGCATTATACTTTTGAAAAAATAGGGCTTGGGATAGCAGTTGAATGCAGATTTGGTTTTCAGAATTTAATGTTTAAAATGTTAATATTTATTATTTCATAGGTTTTTTTAGATTTGTAATTAATTATTGGTTTTGGCTTTGTATTGTATTAAAGCAGCAGTAAGCGATTTGGTCGTTTCCAGCAGTTTCTTCTGCCTGAGCGAGTTAGTAGCCCCGCCCCCACCCCCTCGTCACACCACATGAACGCGCATCGTGTTGGTGATGGCAGCAGCAGATTCATCTCCGTCGGGTCTACTCGTAAGTATATTAACAACAAACTCTGGGAGTGAAATATTAGCATAGAATAGCTCAGTTGTAACCTAGCTATAAAACTGAAAGCAGCTTGGTGTTAGCTAGGATAGCATCACTAAGAAAGAGATAAAAAACAATCCAGTCTTTTATAGAATAATACTGCTTCTCTAGTTGGTACACTGATAACTGTTGTGATAAACATAATGTTGCAGATTGCAGTGTGACGTGTCTTAACATTGAGATTAGTTATAAGTCCAAAACATCTGTTACAGTGCATGTATTAGATGAATGTAATGCATATACATTACAACAACAAAGCTTTACATGAAGGTTATTTAAAGTAATACATTACTGCTACTTATTTCCTCACAATTTATATATTTGGAGTTCTTTATAGACAACACTGTAGTAACGTATTGTGTGAAAGTAAAGCTGCCTTCTCAATGTCACAAAATAAAGATACATTTATTGCTGTAATCAACATCTGTATTATGTGCTTATTGTTCAGAGAATGAAGACAAAATCAAAGTGTATCAGAGCTGTACAGTGAGATGTGGGACTGAAAAACAATTCCAGTAAAGCTTGTCCGAAACGCAAAAGTACTGTCATAACTAATGCAGCCCGCGAAAATTCAATTTGGTAGACGTTAACCAAATGTACCCCCTCCAGGCCGGCTGTCATCCCCAGCCTATCGCTCAGCAGACGCCCCCTTCCAATCATCTGTACCGACTCGCAGCCGCATAAAAACGGAGCAACGCCCACTACCGGCCTCTGAAGCCTCGCAAAGAATCGTTCTGGAGGAATCGCTTTTGTCTACTCACGCTTACTCGTGCGTGTCCCTGCTGTCCTCTGTCTTGCTGCGTGTGGTCTGCTCCTCCTGTGGCTGCACCTGCTGC